ACATTATATTATTAAGTTACCCAAGCTCTCGTTTAGCTCACCCGACGTACAAAATATCGTCCTAATAAACTATGCTAATTATACTGTGACCAAATTACGTGAAACATTCTGAGAAAGAAAGAAAAATTACTTTTTACTATCCTCGCTACAGATGGACTTATGTCAATCTCTCTTACATTTRTCCATGGGCAACACTAAATAATATAGATAATATGTTATCACAAAATATAACAGCATAATAGTAATTCACATCATTACACTATCTAACATTATAAAAAAAATAACTATTATAATAACTATTATTATCTATTTGAGTATGATAATTTTTAAATCTCTGGTACATTATTAATATTAAATAACCAATATGACACTTAAATTAATTTTATGAAATATAATAAATTATTTAATGAACCTAATTAAATATATTTATGCATATTATATTTTATGCATTCCAGTCATTTAAATACATTATAAAAGATTAACAAACCCCATTGATTTGAAAAACAGGAAAAACTCTTAGTTTTGGAGATGGACCGCTCTCTTCTTTAATGACATACACAAATGTAGTTCCAGATTGGTCGATACAACCCAACATTATTATTTCATAAAGATGAGCAAAACTTATATCTTCAATTAAATTTGAAAACCCTTTAATTAATGCTCTTTCATTACTCTCTGTTTTAACAACGCGGACCAAACCCTCATAAGCATCCGCTACAGTAAAAAATAATAAAAATAATATAAGAAAATAAATTATTTTCAAAAATGAAGTATTTTATAGTTATTGATAACTTACTACTAGAGAAGCCATAAGCTATGAATTTCTCACTTATATGTAAAGCAATCAACTGCCCACGATAATAGCATTGATCCCAATTAAAATTAACAAAATTTTTAAGCGTTAATTTTGAACTTCCTTTGTTATGAGATCCGTGGCTTGAAAAAACTTTAGTAGAGTTGCTATGAATTGTGTGAGTATATTCTTCATCCCCAGTGAATCTTCTGTAAATTACAACAAACATATTAACAATAGTAGAGGTAAAATTAGGTACAGAAAAAAATAATGATAAATATAGATTATTTCATTATTTTATACATTTTAATTAAAAAGGGAAATATGAGTCAATCAGAAGTCTCGTTTGCAACTGTAATAGGTTCTAGAAATCACTGATAAGAAAATAACTTAATTTAGTTTTTTTTTTTACATACTATGTTCAAATATTAGTTTAGAAAAAAAAATCAATACTAATAAAAGTGATATTGATTCCAGTACAAGTGTTAAGTCCATTCATAAAAAATATCAGCATTGGTTTATTTACTTACACTAGTCRGTAGAAGTCCTAACATAATTCAATTTTTATAGAATTGGCTGTCAACAAAACCCTAAAATATGATAAATTAGAAAATTTAATTTAAGTATGTAGTAAAATTGTTTGTCATTTTAAACATTCAAATTTAGGCAGTCAATATTTAAAAGATAAGCAAAAACAACTAGATTTGCCAACAAAAAGCTTGTACGCTGTAAAACTAGGTGGAATTCTATGATTATGATGCTTGATCGACTTTATGAAAATAGGTTCCCAATGTCAAATATTCATGCTGATCGTTCAAAGACTACAGTAGCGATGGCACAAAAATTTGAAGTGACAGAGTACCAAGGGCAGATATAGAAAAGTTAATAAAATTGCTTAAACCTCTACAAAATTATAATGACCACTGTTTTTTGTGAGGGAATATATTGTTCAAGTTCAATTGTTAGGCCCCTTCTAAACAAAGTTATACAAAAGCATATTTTAAAGCATAATATAAGTGATGATGAAATATCTGAACATTTTAAAACCAATGTAATAAGGAAACTTTTAGATTGTTTTAAATTACTATGATGTAATTCTAGTGTCGTGTCTGCTAGGCAAATAGAGTCTTTTCTCGGCCCAAGAGGTTCAAGGACTTAGAACATGAAACAGTTGAAGCAAAAGAGGAAATTCAGACAYGGGTTAAAAATTTGATAAACAAAATGGCTGAAATTAATTGCGATGTGCAAATTGAAACACCTGATACTAAACATCACAGTGCTCTTGAATTTTTGTTTGGCGGTGAAGTAAAATGTAATACAGGGTGGGGCACTGAAACGGCCGATTTTAAAAATATATTTTCTCAGTAGTAATTAAGATAAGAATTCTCACTAAATATTATTAGTTCAAAGACAACATGCCATTTAGTAAACATGGAACAGTGGAGTGGTAAACAACGTGCTTATGCGATAAAATTGTTTTACAAAAATAATGACAGTTACGTAGCCGCACAGCGTTAATTTCGTCTTCATTTTAATCTTAAACGGCATGATTTGGTACCATCGGCTAAGGCTATTAAAATATGGATAACCAACTTTGAAGAAACGGGTACAGCAATAAAAAAGAAGCCTGTACGACAAAAAACCATTCGTACACCTGAAAACGTTGTTGCTGTCAGAGCCGCTCTCATAAAGAGTCCGAGTGTGTGGAAAATAGTAGTGGAAAATATACGAAGTAGGCTAGAAGAGTGTTTGAGAAGAGATGGCCATCATCTTGAGGACATAATTTTTAAAAAATAAATGGCATGTTATATACTTCATTATAATAAATAATAATAAATTTTTATTTGGTTTTTTTATTTTATAATTTATCTATGAAAATCGGCCGTTTCAGTGCCCYACCCTGTACATCTGATTCTGACATTCAGTATCAACATTACTTGGCAGAACCATAGTTAAAATTTGATTTTGATGCACTAGGTGAAAGACACGTGCATCAAAATATCCACTAATTATTGCTTTGGCAAAGAAATATTTAAGAATACCAGCAACATCAGTAAGTTCTGAAAGATGTTTCTCAACCCCTGGAAACATAGTGACGGCCAAGAGAAGTTGTTTGGCGCCAGAGACAATAAACAAGCTAATTTTTCTTTACCAAAACCAAAAATTATTATAGCTTCCTAGATTAAGACTCGTGAGTGATTGCTTTGCTATTTTATAGCATATATTTTTTATTTTACCATTTAGTACACACAGCTTGTTGATTAATTTGATATTATTATTATTATTTTGTATTTATTTTATAGTATATTATTAATTAGGCAATTAATTTTTACTAATTTAATTAATTAATTAAAGCTATTATTTTTTTTTTTTTTTTGGAAAAAAACAAAATTTAAAATATTTAAATTTTATAATATACGAAAATGCAAGTGAATAAATAACTTCTGTATTATTTATTATACTTACTTTTCATTATCAATTACTCGTAGGTACATAACAAAAATTACACACAAAAATGTGATAATAACATATACTAGAAGGTAGTGAACACAATATAATATGATATGTTTTCTGCAAGGCTGGGCATTAACGAGTTAAAAAGTTAAAGTTAAGTTAAAAAGTTAATTTTACTTTAACTTTTTAACTTAACTAGTTACCTTTGGATTTTCATTAACTTAACTATTAACTTATTAAATTTATTTTTTAATTAATGTAAAATAAACGAATTAACTATCATTTTAAGAAATAAGTTAAGTTAATTTATTTTGTTTTTAATTTTTTACATTTCATTAATTGAATCTATTTTGATTTTTTTGTCATGTCAAAAAAATATTTGCTGTAAATTGTTTCAAGTTAGAAAAATTATATTTTTTCAATCACTCTGTATTCTAAAGGAACACCCTRTATATTTTTAATTTTATAATAAAAGGTTTTACTTATAAGTCATTAAATTGAATATTATATCAAGTCACAATAATAATATAGACATAATAATATAATATAGTACCTAAATGGCTATATGCATATATATGGTATAATATTGTTGTTATCGAAGATCAACGTCGTCATTTYGAGAAAAAATAAATACCAACACTAAAGACTAAAAATAAAAACCGATTACTTATAGATTTTTCGATTATAATATGGTTTTGTGCGATGTCGACATGAGCCTGTAATTTATCAGTATTCAGTTGTGATTGTGAACTTTTGGTTTTTATAAAAAAATAGTAACAGTAACAGTATGCACATTGAAATATTAAAATATTAAAATTAAAAATACCAACTCATCATATTATTATTTATTCAACAATTTATATCAATAAGGTAAGTGGTAACAAACTATAATAGCAACTACTAATATTATTGAATAATTGGAAATATATGTTTAATATTTTTAAGCTGTAGTATCTTATTCTTTAATGTCTTTCAGCATTAAGATTTTTGTCATGACGAGTGAAACCGAAATAACATTACAATGGCCATTCTTAAACAATTATTTTGAACAATTATCAAGTAAAGATACCTAACCAAAAAATAAAAGGATTTCCACTTCTCAAACATCCAACTCAAATTTCTGAACACATATTAATGTACGCTAAATTATTCATAAATTATAAAAATATTTAATGGTTAAATAATCTTTACCTAAATGTAGGTACTTAARTTGAATTATTTAATATACATTTATAAGACTAGGATAATGAAATTTGAAATTTGTGTAACTTGTTGTAAAAATAAATAATAATTTTTGCTTTTTGTTTAAGTATTGTTATAATAGAATTTAAACAGATGCAATTYAGATTTTTATTTTTATTTGCACTAMAACACATTTAAAAACCTTTTTAGAAAAAAGAAAAAGTRTAGATACWTTTAGAGCTAAAATTAAAACTAAAATAAAATATGCTAACAGGACATTTATAAAAGTTTTTACAGATTATATTTTTAAATATTAGTAATAATTATGTAATAACTAATAAATAATATATTTTTCAGCTTATACATCAGAATCATTTAAATGCATTTAATATTTGTACTAAAAAGAGATTAAATGAAGATTTGCCYGTTCAAGAATCAAAAAAACAGTTGAAACTTTGTGAAGTTGGAAAAGTTCGATCAAAAAATTTAAGCCAAGCTGAACTTGACAGTGCCAATTTACAGCTCATAATTAGTACTGTATCTCCTTATTATTTAACTGAACATCCAACTTTTGTTAAATATTGCCAAATAACATCAAATAAAGTACCAGTCTCAAGAAGAACCCTTATGCGTAATGTGGAGTCCATGTATACCCAAATGGCCAAATGAAAGATGATTTTGAAAAAATTAATTATTTTTGTATAACTGCAGACTGTTGGAGTATATTCCATAGGTTTATAAGTATATTATTAATTTTAATTATGAATTGAATTATATTATTGTGCACATAGGTACTATTAAAATGTAATGATTTTAATATTATTTATTTTCTGGTTATAGATCATATATTGGTTTTAGG